GCTTTGGCGCTTGAAGAAGGAAGATGCGTAGAGTGTTGTAGACTTCATTTTTATTTCAACTTGTGGTTCAAACAAGTATTGATTTTGTGTATCTATTGAACTTGGAAACAATACATGACTGGGGTATTTTGGGGAAATATGTCGAAGTTTGTACAATGTCATGTATTTATGTGAATATTTTGTTTGTATGAGAATATTTTGTTTTGTCTGTCTATCATTTTGTCTGTGTACGTATATTTATTGTCTGTCTATCATTTCAAGCAGCGCAATACAACATGTCTGTCTGGTTATGTATTTTGTCTGTGTACGTCTATTTATTGTCTTTCTATTATTTGAAACAACGCCACATTGATGATTCATAAGAAACTTAAGTTTTCAGTTACCCTGTTATCATTCACACACATTACGTTAAAGACTTGAGGCAATAATGTTCAAAGCACAAAAGAAAGTACATGATAAACTACATCAAACTATGGTTTAAGTCCAACCCATAATCATTCATACATTCCATAAATACGGGAGACCTAATTCCAGCACGGCCACACTCTAAGACAATCACAATGATGTTGCCGGATTTGTCTTTACTTGAACTTCGTTGTCTAACGGGAAACCCCACTCTTCTACCATAAGCCTTGTAGAAATCATAAACTGCGTCTTTACTAGGAAAATCCATACCAACTTCGGGGTCTTTATTACTACTCTTTTCTTCCTCTTCATCTGTTATTCCAAAAAAAAATGCATGTTCATAGAAATTTACAACTCACAACATTTTGTCTGTCCAGACAGACAATAGTATGCAATTTTTTTTCTATAACATTGTTGTGTACATTCACATATACAACCATATGTCCAAAATTTATACACACTTTCACATAACAACTACATTTTCTATCAAAACATACTACAAAAAAATCTTGTAACAATACTTGCATGTCCATACAGACGTTATTTTTACGTAGACAAACAAAATAAATTGTCTGTCAGACAGACATTTTACATATGGGTCAAACAACAAACCTACTATGTTTCAGTAGACAGACACTGCACTTATAACTACTCTGATAGACAGACAACCCTTTTTATATCCCAAATACACCAAAAAATCAAGAAAACAAAATCAAGAAAATCAAGAAAACAAACCCAAGACAACAACACATACTCAAGCCTTCCACCTCTGGACCTTGTTCATCTTCGTCCCTCGACCTCGCATCCAGTTCGCCAGAAACTGGCTTACGACCATCATCTTCACCTTCATCACCTAGCTCTCCAAAAATCATGTTATCCCAGAGTAATCCATCAACCCACTCGGATTTACCATTCCCGTTTAGCTCCATTGAAGAAGAGTTCCAACGGAGAAGATGAAGGATGTCTCACTTTTCTCTTCGGTCGTTTGGTCAATTCGCAGCTTCCGATTTTTTGGCAGAATCGCTGCGTGACTTCTGCGCAGGGGAGGGATGGAGGGTTGTGAGAGGGCAGAATTATTTGGGGGTAAATGATGGTAAAAATAAGGAGTATTTAAATGGGGTGCCAAGGGTGTACACAAATTGTGTACCCCTAGCATTTTTCATAGGCGAATCTTGGGGGCGACAACGAGCCATTTGGCGTTTTTCTTTAGGTTTTCCACGGGTTTGATTTGGCCATTTAAGTTAGTAAGAAAAGGTAAGGGTTGTCAAAATTGAATTGGCAAAAAAATCAAAGTCTACCTGGACGGCGTCAAAGTGATGCGAATCAATTAGCCGTTGCGAGGTTGGTACAGCGCTAAATTGTGGCGGTGCGCCAAGCTGCAGTATACTATCATCCGTCTCTTTTTAAACGCAACATGTTAAATTTACACTATTCACATGTTCTACTTTGACTACATTTTATATTATCATTTTATGAAAATTATTTTTTAAAAAAAATATTGTTCAATTCATCTCATTACAAATTTTCAAAATCTAATTTTTAAATATTTTTTACTAATAGAGATTAAGATATAATTACGGTCAAAGACGTGCATTGGCAAGTGTGAAACGTTGACCGTTGCAACTAAAAAAGAACGGAGGAATATGAAACATGGTTTTAGGTTAATTTGAATGAGTAAAGGTTTGAAAAGGTTTGAAAAGGTCCGAAATAAACATGCTCCGAATGAGTAAAGGTTTGAAAATATGAAACAGCCCGGAAGGGTTGTACTCTCCAGTAAAATGGTTTTAGGTTAATTTGAATGGATTATTCTCAACTGTTTTATGGTAAGAGTTCATAAAATCACCCAGAGCTAAAATTTTGAAGCAACATAAAGGCATTAAAATAGCTAAGAACTAAGAAAAAGAATATTATAATTTATTTTAATAACACTCGTGCCAAGCCCACATGCAGTACGTATCCACCATGGGGCAGAAGCTCAAAGTGGATTTTATGAGAGGGGAATTAAACGATAAGAAGGAATAACTTTCGACACATGCTGAGGCAAACAAAATGTTCTGAGTTTAGGAATACAACAAATTAAAATCCCATAGAAAGACAAATATTTGACCATGTTCCGAATGAAACAATGTAAAAGTTTGAAAATATGAAACAGCCCAGAAGAGTTGAACTTTCTTGTAAAATGGTTTTAGATATTTTAGGTTAATTCGAATGTTTTGGGATGTTTTTACTTTGACTGAAAGTAGTCTGGTCTATTTAAGTCTGGTTTGAGCTGAAAATAGTTCAAGTAAAAACAACTTTATTATGAACTCATTTTACAAATTTTCTATCTATTATTTTCTGTTTTCAGCTTCTAATTTTTCATTTTCAAATCTGAAAACATGTTCATCTATTTTTTTCACTCGGTTCTGTGACGGACTGGAAGACCGAAATTACGGTCCCGATTTGGAACCGAACATAGTAAGAGCATCTTTAATGGGCCTTTCGATTCTTAATAATGCACAGCCACGTAATTAGGAATTGACCAACGTAAAAAAATCAGTCTCCAACGGAGGAGTCTCTATTTCCTGTGGAGCTGAGGTGGAGTTGACAACTGTCCACACCGTTTCTCTGCCTTTCTCAATTCAGCAAGTCAGTTAGACAGCGTGACTCAGCAAAACTTTTTTTTGTTCGTCAAATATTTTGGCGCTGCACGCATAAAAAGAGCCCCAATTTTTTTCGTCAATTTTGTTTGCATCTTCTGAAGCACGGTGCCCTAGGATGCCAAAGACTTGCAAATCTTCTTGTTGCGCAAGAATCAAAAGTAATTTTTTAATCTCTTTCTTATTAATTCCATTATCAATTAAACCAAACTACATATTGATTTCATTCTAACTGTATGCCTTCCGGAAATTAATGCTAGAAGGAGATCGATCAGTAGTATACTTGTATGGATGGGGAATAATGGATCCGTATTGCGTAGGAACAGGAAAAAGATCTGTTCGGATCCACATTTGCGTTGGAGATCAAATTTTATTGTAATTGATTTTATGTCCACGTGAGCTTTATAGGCTGTGCATATTGATGATGTGCCCATTTTAATGGGGTGCAATTCACTTCCCCATTAAAGATGCTCTAAGGCCCAAGAAAGGATGATATGATGCAGAATCTGGGCTTGGAAGAAGAGGGACAGAAGCCCCCGTGGGTTTACCGAAGGCGGGACGGACTTGAGCCCACCTTCGTGGGCTGGTTGTGTGCTGTTTAATTATTATTTATTCTTTTTATTTTTCTGTATTTGTTTCCTTTTGGAGTTAATTAGGATTTCTATTATTTCTTTCCTATTTGAAGTTGATTAGGATATTTATTATTCTGTTTCCTAGTTGGAGTTGATTAGGATCTCTATGATTTCGTTTCCTAGTTTAAGAGTTAGTAGATGTGTATTTAAACCCCTTGTCAGGATTCATTCTTGATCATCTTGGAATAAAATTGGTTTTAGCCTTTAGGCTCTGGGCAACGGTATTTTTATTGTTGATTATCGGGCAACGGTTTACCCCACTGATTTTATTTTTTTTGTTCACAACAAAGGAACCCGGTCTCGGGTATAGGAAAGTCGGGACCAAAACCAGCCGGTTCCAGTTCGTCCCAACAGCTAGTTTGATTAATTGATTTTGTTTTTCCCTATTGGTTGGCAACTCAACGACTCTTTTGAAACTCTTCACTTTAACAAAATATTTAAATGGTCGGATCGTCTACCAGGCTGGACAGGTACCACTGGGTCATTAACGGTACCGGCCGGGGACAGCCCGATAATCGATCGGATCGGAAAAAGACTGTCAAGTCATTGACCGAACAAGACGTGGACCAACATGTCATTGACCGGACTAGACAGGGACCACCGGATCATTGACCCGACCAGATAGGGACCATCGGGTTGTTGACCCGACCAAACAGGGACGGTCGGGTTGTTGACCGGACCGGACCGGACCGGGCTACCCAGCTATCGATCAGACCAGACTGGGATTGCCCGATCGTCGATCAGACCCAACAAGTACCCCCGGGTCATTGATCAGACATGACAAGGACTACCAGGTCATTAATCGGATCGAACAGGACAGGGACTATTCCATCATTGACCAGGTTGGACCACCGGGTCATTGAACGGGCGGGATAGGGATCGCCCGACACCGGAGAGAGACCGGATTCACCACTAGATGTGAGTGTGCAAATTCATTGCAGCGGCATGCGGCATTCACATTTTTTAAATTTAAAAAATTAGTAAAAATCGCTTCGCAAATTCATTAAAGAAAATTGAGACATATCTCATTTTTTTGGTTTTGGAAAACGATTTGTTTTCCTTTCTCTAGTTTTCTAGCAATGTTTTTTGTAAACACATTTTCCATTTTCCTTTATTCAGTTTTATAATTTTCAGTAAAACAGGAAGATATCTATGTTAGTAAACAGGCCCTAAATGTTTGAGAATATGAAACGGCCTGGAAGAGTTGTACTTTCTAGTAAAATGGTTTTATATATTTTAGGTTAATTGAATGTTTAATCTTAACTCTTTTCCGGCAAAAGTTCATAACAAAATCATCAAGAGCTAAAAACTTGAAGCTGTTACGTTATGAACAAGGCCAAAAGCTTAATTCTTCATTAGCATATAACACATATTTATACAGGGGGATTAGGGTTACTAGATAAGTGGGCCGAATACATGGGTCGGGGAGAGTAATGGACATCCACATATTACATAACACTCCCCCTTGGATGTACATTGCTAAAAATACATTACAAGAAAAATATGCATTCTCTCTTTATACATTTTGGTAATGTTGCCTCGTTAAAAACCTTGCTGAGGAAAACCCAGTGGGAAAAAACCTTGGTCAAGGGAAAAAGAGTGCAGCTCATATATACTCTCCCTGTTGACTGCATCACTTCAGGTCTTCTTGTTGAATCCATTTTAATCCAATCTGGTTGCTAACTTCTTGAATGAATTATGGTACTGTGTGTATGCCTCATTAAAAACCTTGTTGGAAAAACCCATTGGGAAAAAACCAATCAAGAAAAAGAGTACATAATATATGTAAAATGATGTGTTGTATTGACCGCCTCGTTAAAAACCTTTGACTAAGAAAACCATGCGGGAAAAACTTAGTAAAGGAAAAGAGTACAGTCATTGGCCTTTGGGGCCTAATCTTCTGGATGACATTTGAATTTACTCTTCTAGAGAAAAACAATACTCTGAATATTATGTATCATAATATGTTATTTCAAAGTCACAAACTGCCTCGTTAAAACCTTAGACCAAGAAAACCCTATGGGACAAAACTTGGTTAAGGAAAAAGAGTACAACTGCATATGGCCTTCCGGACCAATAAATTGTTCGATCTCACAAGGACCAATTAAGAACTTTAGGGTACTGTCTTCCAAACTAATATTAGAATCACTCTTCTAGAGGATACTAGTCTTCCGAATGTTATGAATCTTTCTCATTCTTTAAAACCACAAAATAACTTAAAACCTTTGGCCAAGAAAACCCTTTGGGGAAAAACTTGGCTAAGAAAAAGAGACAACACATGGTCTTCTGGACCAATTAATTGTTTCACCTCAATCCACTCCATATAATTTGAGCTAATGACAATCTTTAGTATACAAAGCCTCCATCATTATTTATACAAATTTGATGGACATTAGTAACCAAACTCTTCAAAAGTTTTGAAGCAGAAGCAATTGTCTAAACTCATGATTTTGCAATGTGCATCTCAAGACCATCAAATTTAATGTTAATGCTCATATGCACATCAAACATTTAATAATCGAGTATTCTCAAATATTGTCCCATTAAAATTTACAAAAGGACATGTTTTGATCCTCCCAGGATCTCAAATTAGTATACAAACAATTCAGGTGTTCACAATGTAATGACTAGATATTTATTATTTATATAATCAAACATCATTCAAATCAAAAGATTCTCATGTGTTGTTTCTAGGTTTGGCTAGATGCTTAAAAGCCTTCAACACCTTCAATTATACAATTTGGTTTATAGAATAATATATGTTTACTTCAGGTAAACAAATAGAAGGTTTATGAGTAATTGCAAATTCATTGCATAAAGTTTTCCTCATTCAACTCTTTCTGCAGGAAAGGCTGAGAAGTAGTATGAATATTGTTCACTTTAAATTAGTTTAAATCCTAGTCATGAAATCATGTGAATCATGATTTCACACTAGATCCTCTACAGGAGGCACTCACTTCAAAATAAATAAAATAATGGTGCAAAGACCTTATTCAATCATGACATTAAATAAAATAATTTGCACCATGATAATCAAGTATAGTTCTTCTACAAAATAAATCATGTAATCAAGGCTAAATGTGATCACCCAGGTTGTGGTTAGGCACAAGCATCTCTTTCTATATTTCCATCTATGCTTAGAGTTTTACTGCATATCCAATTGGTGCAGTTATTCAATCAATTCCAAATTCTTTTCCAAAATAATCCCAAATATAATAATGATAAGTCTATAGTTAAACGCATAATGTCTATATCTAATTATTATAGACATAAAAGAATTCATATTCATGTTGCATGTTGTGTGCACATATTTCTTTTCACCATTGTCCTTCAGGAACACACAATTGATATTATAACAATGACATCCGATTCTCTCATTAACTGCCACATTTACAAAACTTCAAACTATAACAGGAATGTAATCTCAAAATCATTCAATCTCAAGTATTGTCACCCCACGTACACAATATCTTGATTTATGAGACTTCAGGCCCAATATAAAATATCTTCTCATCCATAAACATCGATCATAATTCACAAAATTTTAGGACTGCAGGTCCATCATATTTCGTCTGGCCAGACTTAATTATTATGGATTATGAATTGATGGTTTCGGAAAATAAATCTTTGACGTCAATCTTAATCAATACGATTTCCATTTCATCAAAGTCCTCTATATGAGCCATAAAAGAGGAACTCATGTTCTGTATCATGTAGTTTCTAATATGTATCAGCTGCAGCATTTAACTTATATCATCCTCTTGTAAAGGCATAAGTGACTTATTGTAATAAAAACCGGTTTTATTTTATATACACATAATGACCGTCTAACCATGCTTCATGCATTGGTTGAGCTCAAACTTTGCAATCATTTATCTCAGTCACTTTGGCAGTTTACTTATCATACTTTACACGTTTCTCTTCATATCATTCAATCCGTCTGGGATATTTTTCCGGCATTCCAAAATATAATAATGCTTATGCCTCTATATCTCCCCCTAATCTCGGAAATTGTGCCATAATATTTTTGAACAAGGATTTACATGCATATATATGGAGCCACTTCTGGGATCCAAGTGCATTGTGTCTATAGTGGGGTTTCAATTATTGGCACGTTTTGGCTCATTTGAATGTGTAAACTTTTGGGGGTAGTTATTAACAAATGTCGAATTAATATAAACTAGATTTTCTTCATATATTTTTGCAACTTTCTAGCAATTTATCTCAGGCAAAACATTTATCTTATAATGCTAGATATATTATGTGGGTTACATTATGCTCTTCACTATATTTAATAAAAGCCGGCAAAGTGGTCTTATACCACTCATTACATGTCAACATTTTAACAGAGCATATTCTTGAGACCAAATTTAAAATTATTAACCCACATTGTGAAACTTCAAGTTCACTTAACTCCCATGGATCCACTTTTACAATATTGGGAGAATTGACGGTCTTGCCATTTACTTATCTTAGAAGTATGTATACATTGGATGTCTTATACGACATTTGATCTAAACCTGGGTTGACCTTATATTGGTCATGTATTCAAAATCTTAAGCTTAATACATGTTTAAATTATTCAAGTATATATAGTATAGTATGAGGATAATTCTACTACTGGCAGATATTATGGAAACACAATTTACACTGGGTCGTTATGGTCTCAAACTATCACCAATAAGTATGATATCACTTTTCAAATTACTACTTCGCAGTGTTTGAGTAGTAGTATAACTCAATGCCTGAGATTTTATTATTATTATTATTATTATTATTATTATTAATTATTATTATTATTATTATTATTATTATTATTATTATTATTATTATTATTATTATTATTATTATTATTATTATTATTATTATTATTATTATATTATTGTTATTATTATTATTATTATTATTATTATTATTATTATTATTATTAATATTATTATTATTATTATTATTATTATTATTATTATTATTATTTACGGAAATTGTCCTAAATAGGACTAAAAAGTTCCTAAAAAGCACAAATAGGACTACTATTTTTAAAATTCCCTAAATAGGACTAAACATTGATTTTCTACCCTAAATACCCCTAAGATTATTAATTCATAATGAAATGCTTTAATTCATAATAAAATCACAAAAAACGTAAAAAAATATTTAAAAAACGTAAAAAAAATTATAAAAAAATTATAAACATTTATAAAATAAAAAATTTAATTTTTTATTTTTTTAATTTTTTTTAAAAAATAATAAAAAATAGTAAAAACCCATAAAAAATGAAAAAAATTATGGATGCCTTTCTCACCGCCTCCCACCGCCTCCCAGCACCACCACCTCCGATTGGTGAAATTTCTTCCACTTTTGGTAAAAAAATGCCATATTTTTCTGAAAATGCCAAAAAAATGGCATAATTACTCTTCAATATGCCAACATTTTCATTGAATATGCCATCATTATGGCATTATTTAAAATGTTGGCATATTTTTCACTGGTGATGGGAGATGGTGGTGCTGGGGGTGGCAGGGGTGGTAATGTTTTTTTTTTAATTTTATGATTTTTTTTTATTTATTTTTTATTTTTAAAAAAAAAATTTTTATTTTTTTAGAAAATATTTTTATTAATTTTCTATTATTGTTTTACGATTTTTAGTATTTTTCTTGATTTTTATTAATTTTTTTATGATTTTATTATTAATTAAAACATTTCACAAGTTACAAGGGTATATTTGTCCAAACACACATAAATAGTCCAATTAAGGGAATTTAAAAAATGTAGTCCTATTTGTGCAATTTTGCCACTTTTTAGTCCTATTTAGGGAATTGACTCTATTATTTATGTGCACAACTTGTTTATAAATATAATTTGTGTTTCCATTACTTTTTATCCTTACAATAGGATTAAGTTTCTAATGTGTATGACTCTCTCAAGAGTTGATATATATCAGGTTCAATGCCACAAGTATATACATGCTTCAGGCATTATATAATCCCTAAGACAAAAATAATTTGTCTCTAAAATAATCATTTATATAGGGATTTCTTATGTTTGTAGAAATAATATCAATCACTCACCTAGAAATCTACATAGAGTCTAATGATTAGATAATGCTACTATTGAAGTAACATAAAAGTTATTAAATAATCAAATTTGTTTACGAGAACTTAAAACACTTGTCTTGAACGATTCACTTGAGTGAATTTCTTAAAATTTAACTTGGCATATTGCCCGCTTTGATACTTTAGGACCTCACGACTTTAAAATGCATACACTAATAAGGGCTTCAAGCCCTGCTTATAAACACATTTTATCCCGTGTGTGAGCGATATGGGAACTTCAGGTTCACAACACACCCACTTGTACATCAAATTTAAGCTTTTATAGTGACTTCTAGTACTTTGTTATAATTTCATATTTCCATTAATGAAATTTTGTTTGTTTCCTCCCTCTTGAGCAAATTAATGTAGACTAATCATTATACATAATTACATTAACTTATGGTTTTCTAGGCATTATATGCATACCCATAGCGATATTTAACTATATTTTGAATATAGTTTAAGTCTATATCATGTTTTCCAATCATGCATTTTCTTAAAGTAAATCACTTACTTAAGTGTTTTACAAAACATATAATCAGCATATTAACTTGTCTATCAATATGCCACAATCAAGTTTATCATATAAATGTAATCATATTATGTTTCAAAATGACCAAATTATGAACAGAGATATGTGGAACGTACCTATAATCTCCAATGCACTTTTCTTAATGTTTTCATTAACTCAAAGTAGATGAAGTAATTTTTATTATAATACATATAGGCATTAGAAAGGCAATGAAATGTTAATGAACTGATAAAGATTTTCATCATACATAATCAAGGCAATGAAAATCTACTAAGAGCACATTAAATAATAAATTTCATAATAGCTTTAGAAAATGATATTGTTGGAGGGAGAATGAATTGATATTTCATATGAGGTTCAAATCATGAGGGATAATTAAGCTCTCGTGCTATTTAGTTTTAAAATATGATTCTAGTAACATATCATGAGCTTATGTATTTCAAAGTAATAATAAAACTATGTATATGTACCAATATATGCAACATAAAATATCACATAGGCTAACTAGCTATGCACATTCATTTACAAATTTACCATATACATAAACATCATATATATTATATACAACTAGTTATACTTCTTATTATATAAATAAATATCACTTTCACAAGCAATTGATGTTCTTTTAATAAATATATCCATATGGATAACAGTATCAATAATGCATAGGAATCCAAGAATGTCATTCTGACACAAAACGCTTGATTCGTAAAACATGTATGTATTTCATTATATACATTTCTCTCTTTTAAAAAAAATTGAATGTAACAGTTTATATATCAAATAAGGTGAAACATCATGTAGTGACAAATTAGTAAATTGCACGATTGGATTAAAAAATATCATAAGTGATAGTAATGATGAATATATATGATAATTAATCCCATTTATGTCATTAATTGAGTAAGTAAATTACCTTCTCTAACTTATATTGACTAATAAATGCCATTAATCTCTCTTTTGAAGGCAAGCCCGATACATAATACTCCGTATGAAGTATTTGTTTTGATGAGCTTAAACATTATTGAAATTAATTAAATAAATACACTTTAAAACCTTTTTTTTAGTATTTTTATTCCCCGCAGATCATGAAAAAAATTTACGAAGTATTAGGTACTACTACGTATCATACTTATCAACCACATATAATAATACTATATACATATAGTAGTATTTCTATATACGGAGTATATGCACTTAAGTTACTGTAATAGTGTGCGTACTTATGATCATTATTGTTTAATTATTTCAATTGTCTTTGTTTCTTAAAAAAAAACTGAACTTTAAGTAAATTATACTTTGTAATAAGATAATCAAGTGAAAATAAACCATATCTCCATATGTCATAACCATAAAGATTAAAGACATACAAACGTGATGATAGATGCCACGGCCGTTCCATTTCCCTTGTTTTTTTTCATGATATATAAATTAGATGTATGTAATTTCTCACTACAAAAAAAAACACGGGATTGGCAGAGATTTTGGCAGGGATATGCCAAATCCGTGCCAAAAACACTTTGGCATGAGCTATTTCGCACGAAAAATCGGCAAGTCCGTGCCAAATTTCGTGTCATTCCCGTAATTTTTTGTAGTGGTAGAACTTAAAATCATAATCTTCTCAACAAAAACAGCTTCCCTATACGAATAATAATGGTTTTGCAGGTATTATTTTGGAATTATATGATCGAGGAAAACTTAGAAGAAGAAATAACTGTGATTGTTATTGATTCAGGTAGGTTTAAATGTGAGTCACCTCTGTGAATGGTTTCGAATAGGTTTAAACTAATCAACTGGTGGGAGCATTATATTGATCCTGCACTGGCTTTCTTATGTGCAGGGATCGGAGTAGCATATTAACAAAATTTATTAGTTATATAATTAAATCCTTATCAAATATGGAGTATGATAAATCTCTATGTAAAACACATAGCAGAGACAAAATTATATACCTCAGGAGATGAATCCATCATCACATCGGAGTTGGCTGCCTCAATTTCCATGGTTGAATCCAAGTGAAGATGATACGTTAATATTGGCAAACTAGCCGCACAAATTTGAAAAGCAGCGAAGGATTGAGATCAGTTTTCTCCTATCTGGCGCACTTCATCTATCAGTTTTCTCCAATCTGGCGCAATTCATCTATTTCGAGTCCATTGTGGTTGACGAAGGGAAAAGATAAATTGATGATGATGACGGCCGGTCGGTTGAAGGGGCGGCCAACTGAGGGGAGCGGCTGATTGTGCTACCAACGGCGGAGAAGAGATCGAGAAAGAAAAAAAATAGGCATCGTGCTGATAACGTGTTACATTATGAACAAGGCCAAAAGCTTAACTCTTCATTAGCATATAACACATATTTATACAGGGGGATTAGGGTTACTAGATAAGTGGGCCGAATACATGGGTCGGGGAGAGTAATGGACATCCACATATTACATAACAGAAGCGACATAAAGGCATTAAAATAGCAGGACGTATCCACCATGGGGCGGAGGGTCCTAGTGGATTTTATGAGTGGGACATTAAACTATAAGAAGGTATAATTTTCGACACATGCCTTTAAAGTTTGACCGTGTTCCGAATGGAACAATGTAAAGTTTGAACATATGAAACAGTCCAGAAAAGTTGTACTTTCTAGAAAAATGGTTTTAGATATGTTAGGTTAATTTGAATGTAAAAGTTCATAAAATCATCAAGAGCTAAAGATTTGAGGCAACATAAAGGCATTAAAATAGCTAAGAACTAAGAAAAAGAATATTATAATTTCTTTTCTTTTTTTAACTCGTGCCAAGCCCACATGCAGGGCGTGTTTACCAGGGGGGGGGGGGGGTAGAGGCTCCTAGTGGATTTCATGAGCGGGACATTACACGATAAGGTGTAATTTTCAGCATGTGCGTAGGAAAACAAAATGTTGTGAGTTTAGGAATCCGGAAAAATCTAGTATAATGGCAAATATTTGACCGTGTTCCGAATGAAACAACGTCGGGGTTTGAAAATATGGAACAGCCCGGAAGAGTTGTGCTTTCTAGTAAAATGGTTTTAGATATTTTAGGTTAATTTGAATGTTTTGGGTTGTTTTACTTGGACTGAAATTTGTGGGTCTGATCTGGTCTGTTTTAAATGTGGTTTGAAAGTGAAAACAGTCCAAGTAAAAACATCCTTATTTTGAGATCTTTTCTGGTGAAAGTTCATAAAATCGTCAAGAGCTAAATATTTGAAGCATCATAACGGCATCAAAATTTGTATTATAGTATAAGTATTTGTCAAAACATTTTTAGACCAAACTAACGTTGTAGCCAATCGGATGGAGTTGTACGCACCCTTCCAAAATGTCAAGCGTTTCGAATCCCCCTACAACTCCACTTTGTTTTATTTTTATGCTTTATTGAAACTGTTTAATTTGGATCAAATTGATCTAATCTTACTAGATCATATGATCATAGATCGAATTTAATCAGGACTCAAACGTAGTAGGCCATACCGTATTTGCATTTTATAGTAATAAAGTACACATGCATAATACTATCCTCCGTTCTTTAATTCTTGCAACACTTTGACTTTCACATTTGCCAACGCACAACTTTGACTATAATTATATTTAATTATGTATTAGTAAATATTATAAAAAGTTGATATTTTGGAAATTCACATTGATAGGAATTCAATAACATTTTATGCGTAATAATTTGATTATGTATATTAGTAGAAAATCGTGGTCAATGTAAGGTTTGTGAATAGTGCAAAAATCACAATATTGCAAGAATTAAAGAACGGATGAAGTATCAAATAGAAGCAATTTAGATCAGACTAATACAGAAGGAATTTAAATCAGAGTCGAATGCAGTAGGCCATACAGATTTCAATTATCTGAAAGGTTATACTTGCATATCATATGTGAAACCTATTTGGCATAAAAATACTCATGAAAAGGGATTGTCTTCCATCTGGCATCTCTCTCTCAATCCTTCCATAGCCGCCGTCTCCCCACCATGTCACATATGAATTTCGGATTATCCAGTACTTGGATCCATCCTCCTCCCCGTAGCCCATAATAAGAACATGACGTTCGATCTTGTCCTTGTCATTCTTCCTTGCCTCCTTGTAAATCTGCTCAAATAAAGAATTTGGGTATTAGGTGTAGACTAATACCTTATTAATCTGGTCTATAAATTTTAAGTGCATGTATTGATCCACTGTCTTCTACCGTATAGTCAGTCATGTCTCTCCGAATTCTGGTGTATACTCGAGAACCCCAACAATGGGGTGCTTCCGGACTAGTCCAACTATTTCCTGATCACGGACTTTCAACTTTGGGTCATTTCGTTCGTCTTCGTTGTCTAAAGCGTAATAATCAGAAATAGAGAGACGTTCGCTGCCTTTAGAGAGACGTTCGCTGCCCTTCACTTTTTCTGGAGTTGCTCTTTTTCCACTGAACGGATAGTCAGCCAGATAGGCAATTCTGTTATCTTTAACACAATTGAAGGCCCTCGCAGTGTTCCCAAAGGAACCATCTTTGTTTTGAGGACACACATCAATGAGCAATTGAGGAGAGAGGCTTACTTCAGCAGCCTCTCCCCTCTCTTTGCGCTTTATATTTTCTTGAGCTTCGATGCATGCGGCCGTTTGTATGGCCCAACATACTTTATTACGTTTTTTATTTAAAATTGGAGTTCATATAACATCTTCGGTGCTCCAGACCCACTCTTTAGGCAGTTCATTTACTGGCTTGCTACTTGAAGAAGAAGACATCCTACTGTCGAAGTGGCTGTCATGAAGTTTTAAGCTTATAGCGTTAAACAATATCATATATGCTCTAAACTGAATAAACATTTGGTTCATTTATTAGTCTAAACTGGTAGTTTAAATAATATCATTTATTCAGCGAAACGCAGCAGAAATTTGTAATATATTAATCGTAACTGACAGACAAGAAAGAGAAAAAACAGAAAATAGATGAAACTCTTCGCGACTAATTTCTGCCTAGTCAGCCTCCCCCTTTCGTCCCTCCCAATCTTAAATTAAAATGAAAGGGTCAGCCCAACTCAAGACTTACATGGTCGGATGGCCCAGAACCCTAATTATTACACAATCACAATTATTTATTATAATTCCATCATTAATGTGGTTGTAGTTGTTATTATTATTATTATTTTATTATTATTATTATTATTATTAATATTATTGTTTTCTGCCCATGTTCATATCAAAGTAACTGCATCATCTGCAATCACGAATTCGACTGTCTCAGTTTGTGGGTGAGGACATATTGTTAGTTCACACACGTTTAGCAGCAAAAGAGTTCCTATGATAGATTAAAATCAATTTGAATATAAAAGTAAGAATGCAAAATGGAACTTCCGAAAACAAGTCAAATTGAAAGTTGAAACCCTATGTGATTAGAACATATCACCAAGAGTTTATCTACGAGCAGTAGGGTTGAGGGATAAACAGAGAGAACATTTTTAGCATTACCAATAAAATTTTAGACTCCAGGATTCATTAGAACTCTCATTTTGATCAATCTAAATAATACTCCCTCCGTCCCAAAATTAACTTCTCACTTTCCTTTTCAGACAGTCCCGAAATTAACTTCACACTTCAAAACTTTCCTTATTTGGCAAATAATCTACATCAAAAAAGTGTCAAACAGTGCAAAACAGTGCACTCCACAGTAAAGTCATATTTTTTTTCTTAATCTGTGTGAAGTCAAACTATGAACTTAATTACGGGACGAAGGAGTAGCTTTAAACCTCATTTCCTAAGACTGCAACGCAATGAGCAGAAGTAAGGAAAGCAAGGTTTGAAGTAACACACAGCAACCTGAGAGAGTGTATTAGTAATGCCAAAATTGTTTTATCTATATTTATATATTCTTAATAATAAATAAATAACAGTAAGGAGTGTTTTTGCATCAAATTTTTCATATGTATTTTACATTACACATATATGAAGAAAAGAGTGTAAGAAAAACTGAAAAAGATATAACTATGACAGGGGGAGACTCTAGCGCATGTGAGAGCAAGAAATGGAGAGACATCACAGCGAGTGAGTTGCGGTTGTTTTACAAGAGAGGGAGCTGAGAGAGAGATGCAGCTGATGCAACCGTGGAGAAAAAGTAGCTGCAGCTGCAAAACACGGCAGAGTTAGGGATGGACTAAGATGTTGGCCCGTTTATCTAGTTGGGCTGAATTCTAATTGGATAGTCCAAACAATTTGTACTCTGCATTACCTATTGTAAAATTATGGCCAAAACCAGATCATGTAAATTTAAAAACAAATAAGTATTTCATTTTTTAACTCAAATAAATAGAATTAACTAAATTTTAAATTTTCATGCAAGACTTCAGAGTTCAGACATTTTTTAAGGAAACTGTATTTTAATATTAATATAAAACTCATCAAATAGTGCAAATCATACTCAAATTTGCAACCTAAATCCCTACTCGACTCATAAGTCATCATAACTCATAAACCATAACCTGAAGATATTCTAACCCCTTGTCAAACATGATTTTAAATTCATCCAACCCATCTCTGATTTCAAATCTTATGTTACTGATTCAATATTTGTCAAGAAATTAGTCCGAAACTTCATATGCATAATAAAGAGAAGAAATGTCCAGAAATACCTTTTCTAAAGAGTGTCATCAGAGGTGTAAAGGTTTAGCCGTTTAGGGTTTGTCCTCTTCGAATCCATGGATTTCATGCTCGTTGCTTGAGCTTACGGTACGAAGAGGATGAGCTTACGGTACGAAGATGAAATCCATGAATTCAAAGGGGACAAACCCTAAACGGCTAAACCTTTACACCTCATCTGACGACACTCTTTAGAAAAGGTATTTCTGGACATTTCTTCTCTTTATTATGCATCCGGAGTTCCGGACTTATTTCTTGACAAATATTGAATTAGTAACATAAGATTTGAAATCCGGAGATGGGTTGGATGAATTAGTTATGATGACTTACGCGTCGAGTAGGGATTTAGGTCGCAAATTTGAGTATGATTTGCACTATTTAATTAGTTTTATATTAAAGTACAGTTTCCTTAAAAAATGTCTGAACTCTGAAGTCTCCTCATGAAAATTTAAAATTTAGTAAATTCTATTTATTTGAGATAAAAAATGAAATACTTATTTGTTTTAAAATTTACATGATCTGATTTTGGCCATAATTTTACAACAGGTAATGCGGAGTACAATTTGTTTGGACTATCCAATTAGAATTCAGCCCAACTAGATAAACGGGCCAACATCTTAGTCCATCACTAACACAGCCTAGCTCTGCCGTGTTTTGCAGCTGCAGCTACTTTTTCTCGGCGGTTGCATCAGCTGCATCTCTCTCAGCTCCCTCTCTTGTAAAACAACCTCTCTTGCTAAACGTGTGTGAACTAACAATATGTCCTCACCCACAAACTGAGACAGTCGAATTCGTGATTGCAGATGATGCAATAACTTTGATATGAACATGGGCAAAAAACAACAACAACAACAACAATAACAACAACATTAATGATGGAATTATAGTAAATAATTGTGATTGTGTAATAATTAGGGTTTTGGGCCATCCGGCCATGTAAGTCTTGAGTTGGGCTGGCCCTTTCATTTTATTATAAGAATGGGAGGGAGGAAAAGAGGAGGCTGACTAGGCAGAAATTAGTCCCGAAGAGTCTCATCTATTTTCTGTTTCTTCTCTTTCTTGTCTATCAGTTATTGTAATACTGAGATTACGATTAATATATTACAAATTTCTGTTGCGTTTCGCTTAATAAATGATATTGTTTAAACTGCCAGTTTAGACCAATAAATTGGTAACCTTTATGACCCAGATGTTTATTCAGTTTAGAGCATGTACGATATTGTTTAGCGCTATCAGTTTAAAACTTCATGACAGACACTTCGACAGTAGGATGTCTTCTTCTTCAAGCAGCAAGCCAGTAAATGAACTGCCTAAAGAGTGGGACTGGCGCACCGAAGATGTTATACAAACTCCAATTTTGAATAAAAAACGTAATGAAGTATATTGGGCCATACAAACGGCCGCATGAATCAAAGCTCAAGAAAATATAAAGCGCAAAGAAAGGGAAGAGGCTGCTGAAGTAAGCCTCTCTCCTCAATCGCTCATTGATGAGTGTCCTCAAAACAAAGATGGTTCCCTTGGGAACACTGCGAGGGCCTTCAATAGTGTTAAAGACAACAGAATTGCCTATCTGGCTGACTATCCGTTCAGTGGAAAAAAGAGCAACTCTAGAAAAAGTGAAGGGCAGCAAACGTCTCTCTAAAGGCAGCAAACGTCTCTCTAAAGGCAGCAAACGTTTCTCTATTTCTGATTATTACGCTTTAGACAACGAAGACGAACGAAATGACCCAAAGTTGAAAGTCCGTGATCAGGAAATAGTTGGACTAGTCCGGAAGCACCCCATTGTTGGGGTTCTCGAGTATACACCAGAATTCGGAGACATGACTGACTATACGGTAGAAGACAGTAGATCAATACATGCACTTAAAATTTATAGACCAGATTTATAAGGTATTAGTCTATACCTAATACCCAAATTCTTTATTTGAGCAGATTTACAAGGAGGCAAGGAAGAATGACAAGGACAAGATCAAACGTCATGTTGTTCTTATTATGGGCTACGGGGAGGAGGATGGATCCAAGTACCGGATAATCCGAAATTCATACGGGACATGGTGGGGAGACGGCAGCTATGGAAGGATTGAGAGAGAGATGCCAGATGGAAGACAGTCCCTTTTCATGAGTATTTTTATGCCAAATAGGTTTCACATATGATATGCAAGTATAACCTTTTTCTGATATGGTAATTGAAATATGTATGGCCTACTGCGTTCGACTCTGATTTAAATTCCTTCTGTATTAGTCTGATCTAAATTGCTTCTATTTGATATTATGCATGTGTACTTTATTATTACTATAAAATGCAAATACGGTATGGCCTACTACGTTTGAGTCCTGATTAAATTCGATCTATGATGATATGATCTAGTAAGATTAGATCAATTTGATCCAAATAAAACTAATAAGATATTGTCTAGTTCAGTATGATCCTTTCTTGTACAATCTGAAATGGTTGGATATGTTATTATGTGATCTATTCATTAATTAATATCCTACATATTGCTTATATAGTTTTTATAATATAATAAAAAGATATACATTTATAACTTAAATTTTACATGACTATTTCAAATTTGATCCTCCTTTTTGGGCAAAAACTATAAGATTATCATTTCTCATTTATTTACAACTTTTATTTTTGTCATTGATTTTAATAATAGCTTCAAAAAGGTAGGAAGTACCATACATGATAATTTGAGACTAGCCAAAACAGGTCAATTGCTTTTCCATAATTAATCCTGGGAGACGTCTAAACACTTTAAACCCAAAATGACAAGCTCAGTCACTTCCTTAATTTTGTAAAGAACGTATGTACTGAGATGGGCAATAAGAATCATACCTTCCATATTCAGCTACCATCATACCCTAAATTTCTGGAATTGGATCATCAAAAGACCTCTCTGTGCTTAAAGGGGGACGGGAGACTGCACACCAGAAGAAAAACCAGAAAATGACTGAAGCTCTGTTATGAGAGGGCGAATGACTGAAGCTCTGTTATGAGAGGGTGAATGACTGAAGCTCTGTTATGAGAGGGAGAATGACTGGAGCTCTGTTATGAGAGGGAGAATGACTGATTCAGGAAGTATCATCCTTTCATGCCAAACCTTCAACACCTGTTTATTAAAGATAGCAAATCATCAGGTCTATATCTAAGCGAAAAAAGAGCTCAAAAAACCATTACTTTCAAGCACTGCCTCCGGTTCTAACATATGTGGTAGTACAAAAAACCATTACTTTCAAGTTCGATTGTTCATCACCAAATTGGGACAGGCTTTTCACCAAATTGTTCGTCAGATATAGAGCTTGAACAGACAGATGCAGTTCTTGCCGTGAAGAACTCATTGTCTTTTCAATTGGGGATACAGCATTTGAATCCTTCAGCGTCAATCTACGGCCTTTTTAAGCCCTGGATCTGAGAAACAATGCAAGACTCCTATAATCAGAAACAGCAGGAACAATATCAATAATAATAAGGCAGGTTGGTGTGAAACAGAGAAACAAAAAGTGTCATTCACAGAAATAGGAAATTGTATACGAGAAACAATGGTTGCCCACAAATGATAAAAAGTACTACCACTTGCATGAAATGATAAGCAGCGTAACTTACATTTCATCACTTTACATTTCATCATCTTGCTTAGTCCATATTTCTTGTATGGATATGTAATTGTGTATCATAATGATCAAATATGAACCCTGTGGTACACTCCAGATACAAACACATGACATAAGGCATCGTTTCATCAAATGACTGTAGACACAAGCTGGCAGTTTCACTGCATTTAACCTCCAAAGTATGCATATGAGCAATATCATCTGTTCAGGAGGAACTTATGGCCATCTTACCCTCTACAAAAAAAATGAGCAATCTGCTGAGTTCCACAGGAGGGGATCACCAGAAGGCTTTGGCAAATCAGAAGCATCTAATCCATATTTATCATTGACACCAACGATAGACTCATAGAAGTTGATGAATAATACCTGAGGTTTTGATTATCCGACCTACGTGTCCATAAGGTGCTTCGACTTTGGCTTATATATCATTAACATTAGGTGGCTTAATATCAGAGACGTCCACTGATATAGCAGTTCCTGTAGTGAGCTGGCTTGAATAATTGTCTATAGCTGCATTTCTCAAAAGTTTCTCCATTCTCTCCCTCCCAGATTAATTATCTACTTCACGATTGTCTAATGACCCATTGTAATTACCAGCAGAAGAGCATCCATCAATTGAATTATTTATTTTCGACAATCCCCCAAAATCCCTTTGATTCTCTTCAGAAGTGTTAGCTGACATGGCCTGTAAAGCAAGGTGAAGACGTTTAGATTGGGGCAAAGCAGATTCACCAGCAAGTTAAGCGCCAAATTCTCTACTGCATAACTATTCCACTTTAATAGAGCATTTATTCAATGGAGAGGAGTATCGAGCAATAGCACTATCTCTTTCATTCAGCAACCCAGTACACTGCTCTGTACGGCTACTACAAAACTTTGTCCTTCCTCTACTGAAAAAACAAGTTCCTCCAACGCACGAGATGACCTAATTATGTGAATTCTTGCTCTTTTGAAAAGTGGCAAGTGCTCATCACCATCTTCATTGACATTCTTCACAAAACATTCTGTTGTCTTTTCAAAATTATTCAACAATTTATGTTCAGATACAACCACATACATTTCAGGGAGTGTTTCTTTGAGAGGAGCCATCAGTGGCCGCAGTTGAACCATTAAAAATCTTTCCCTTTTTTATTATGCGAGATATTTCAAACAATTTCCATCATTTGCAATGGAGCCAAAGATTTATTATTTTTTGGCTTGAGAATATGATGGATTAAAGCAAAATGGCTCACTAAACTGTATGCGCTACTTTGTTTTGAAGCAGCAGTCAACCCATGCAATTTTGGACGAGATTTTCACTACGGGTCATCTGGAAACAGTCTCTCTTTGCTTTAGTACAGGGGTAAGACTGCGTACATCCGACCCCCCCTACCCCACTGTAGGTGGGAGCCTTTGCGGCACTGGGGTAAATGAAAATGATGAAAATCATATTTCAAACAATTTAATTTTGCAAAGGGGGGTACTAGGGGCGAATGCATATGCAATTTCTGGACAAATAAGGGACCTTAGGTACAGATATTTGCGCAAAAGGGCTCTTTCTCTGACCTCAATTCTTGTGTATAGTAATATGGTAATACCTAATCTTAGCCCAATACCTTGAATGCTTGAAGATCCTTCCGAAGTAGTGTATCGGGCCCCAAGAATGTGTGATGCATTAGATACAAGTGACAAAAGAATGCCAGCTAAAAATTGCATCAAAATACTTGGTACTAAAAAACTGTCAAAAAGATAGATCCAAATCAAATTCAGTCAACGTGATAGTTAAAATAGGGTAACTCTTCATAAAGAGGAGCACAATTGGCTAAACTTTGCTGTTTAATATTGATGGTTTAACTGCTTAAGGCACACAAATTTCTGAGTACACGAAAACAAAGTCGTAAACAAAACAAATAGGCCACAAGCCAAAGGGAAAGCAGAGGTGCCAATTGAAACTTGACCCATAGAGACTAGAGCGACACATTCAGCACCCACAACATTCCTACTTCTTGGGAGGAGGCAAAGGCTTGAGGTGGTATGAGATGTGGAGTTTTAAAAAAAAGCAAAAGAAATGAGTGTGATAGAAAAATATCATGACAAAACAGAAAACTTGAGTTTGAAATCAGGAAAGCTGCAGGAATCGAAAAATAATAGCCAGCACACACATAATTTATGGCATGTCGACTAGTTTAAGCTTTTCATAGTGCTTGCAGCTTCGGAAAAACCTAATGCCAATGTTATTTTTACTTGTGCCAAAGGACAAAAGTGAAAACTGAGAACCTCTAAATTTAAACAAATACGGAGTAAATGGATGAATTTTAAATACAAATAAATAGATAATGACCAATTAATCAACCAAAAGTGCCCAGTTTTGGCAAGCCAGAAAATATCATTGTAGTTTTGGGCATGTTACCAATATTTAGTAGGTGAATTACTATACCCAAATTAATACTACCGTCTTCAATTAACTTTCTCTTGCTTGGCTACACACCAAGGTTGTCACAGTGGATATGTCTAGTGGGACGCCAAAGGACTGCGTATTGCCTAGTTGTCAAGTAGCCATAAGCAATACTTGAATATGATCTGTTAAATAATATAGCATATGAATTACAAATTGTTTATACTAACAGAGAATATGAGTTTACAGTAGGCCTAGGCCTGGGATCAGTTCAGTTCTAGTTCAATTTGAAAGAACTTTTTTAAAAATTATAGTTGTTAAATTCGGCTTGGTTTGAGTTAATGTACTACGTAGCTGTTAAATTCGGTTTAAATATGAATTACTACTTGATTATTTTGGAAATCGACCGTTTAAGTGTAGGGTCTGCTCAAAGAACAATGTTGTTGCTTACTATTGAATTGAATCAAAGGAAGAAATTGCAATAAAGTATAAATAAAGCTTAGAGTGGACAAAAATAAAAAATAACTTCCTAAATGCCAGCCAATCGCTGAGTTAAATTCTAAAACAAAAAAAAATCACACCACCAGAGAAAAATTAAAAAACAAAGTCTGAAAAGAAATAGGCCGGGAGAACCTGAATGTGTTGAATAAAACACATGAGCACTTCCACGGTTTAGATTTTCAATATCAAAGATGAGAAAAGTCGATGTACTGGACGGGAGAAGTTTAGATGAAGAAACCGAATGGCACTAGAGTAGCTGCGGTGAGTCAATTGTTTGTTTGGGAAGTAGTTGTGTGATTTGAATTAGGTTTACGTGTTAAGAAGATCAAGGGTTAATAGTCAATGTGGGCTGGTTCAAGGTATATGAGGAATGATCCTGTCCATTGTCCAGGCCCGGCCGCCTCCATTTGAGGTGCTTCGCGGTGGAATTTTTTGATGAAATTTAGTGAGCATGTTCTTCATGAAGTGTAGATTATGCACATAAAATTTCAACTTAAAAGTCACTCGGCAAGTCAGTTAAATAAATTATTGAAAAACAGTGTGCCAAAATATATATAGAAAACGCACTGTTTTTCAATAAATTTTAAGTGACTTCCCAATTGAATTTAAAGCTGAAATTTTGTGGAAATATTCTACACTTCATTGCAAACATGCTCACTAAATTTCATTAAAAAATAAACGCGAATCATCTCAGGAAGCAAAAAAATCATAAAGGATAAAACTAACTATAAAGATAGATAAAGAATCAAAAAAGAAGAAACAAGGAAAGCACAAAAAACAAAAAGGGGGAAAAGAAATGGAGAAACCATAGGCGAACCTTAGGGGAGACAACGAGCCATTTGGTGTTTTTCTTTAGGTTTTCCACCGGTATGACTTGGCCATTTAAGTAAGTAAGAAAAGAGAAGGTGTTGGCAAAATCGAATTGTCCGAACCCAAAATTCAAATTAATTGTTTTTATTATAGCTAATAAATGATATGAAATTTCAATAACATTTTTTCCACTTAATATCAAAACATGTTTATTTGTAACTTAAATTACTTATAATTACATATTTCATCCATTTCATATATATTTTAGGGTTTTGTATTTAATGAATAATAGAATGTCTAAATGTAATATCCCAATTAGTTTAAAATTATTTATTTTAATGTAACTAATAAATTATATGTAATTTCAATCACATCTTTTTGCACTTATAATTAAAACACACTTCTTTATTTGTAACTTTAATTAGTTATAAAGTTATAATTACATGTTTAATTTGTTTCTTAAAAAAATATTTTAATTTTAATCAACTGTCAATTTTTTTATTAATATTTATTTCCTAAATGAATGTGATAGAGTTAATGTAAATTTGCCCCCACTGATTGAACAAAATAATTTAACCGTCGGGTCATCGACCGGACTGGACAGGGACCACCGGGTAATTAACGGGACCGACCGGGGACCGCCGAATCATCGATCGGACCGGACAAAGACTACCAGGTCATTGACCGAACAGGACGTGGAACACCAGGTCGTTGACCGGACCAAACAGGGACCACCGGATCATTGTTGACCCGACCAGATAGGGATCATCGGGTTGTTGACCCGACTAAACAGGGACGGTCGGGTTGTTGATCGGACCGGGCTCCCAGCTATCGATCAGACCCGACAGGTAGTCAGGTATTGCCGGGTCATTGATCATACATGACAAGGACTGCCATGTCATTAACCGGACAGGACAAAGACCGTAAGATCATTGACCGGATTGGACCACCGGGTCGTTGACCGGGCCAGATAGGGATCGTCCGACACCGGAGAGAGACCGGATTCACCACTAGACGTGAATATGCAAATTCATTGCAGCAGCACTGCAACATTCGCGTTTTTTAAATTTAAAAAAGTAGTACAAATCGCTTCGCTAATTCATTAAGGAAAATCGAGACATATCTCATTGTTTTGGTTTTGGAAAACGATTTGGTAAACATATTTTTCCGTTTTCATTTCTCTGGTTTTCCAGCGATTTTTTTTTGGAAAAATTGACAAAAATAATCCCACCTTTCGTTGGTCTTCTCATAATAATCCCACCTTTAGGTAATCCCAGAATAATCTCACCTTTGCACCCCATCTTCTTTCATTGGACCCTGACCATGTTTTTTACTCTTTTTTTGAAAATCATATAAAAAATCTCACCTTTCACTTTTCTATTATATCTTTATAAATGTGAGATTATTTATATAAGATTTTCAAATAAAGGTAAAAAACTTGGTCAGGGTCCAATGAAAGAAGATGGAGTGCAAAGGTGAGATTATTTTGGGATTATGTAAAGGTAGGATTATTATTAGAAGACCAGTGAAAGGTGGGATTGTTCTTGTCAATTTTTCCTTTTTTTTTTTGGTAAACACATTTTCCATTTTTCTTTATTCGATTTTCCAGTTTTCAGTAAAATAGGAAGACATCTATGTAAGTAAACATTAAACATGCCCTAAATGTTTGAAAATATGAAACGGCCTGGAAGAGTTGTACTTTCTAGTGAAATGGTTTTAGATATTTTAGGTTAATTTGAATGTTTTAATCTCAACTCTTTTCTGGTAAAAGTTCATAACAAAATAATCAAGAGCTAAAAACTTGAAGCAACATAAACGCATTAAAATAGCAGGACGTATCCACCATGGGGCGGAGGGTCCTAGTGGATTTTATGAGTGGGATATTAAACGATAAGAAGGTGTAATTTTCGACACATGCTGAGACAAACAAAATGTTCTGAGTTTAGGAATACAACGAAATCCCATAGAAAGACACATATTTGACCGTGTTCCGAATGGAACAATGTAAAGTTTGAACATATGAAACAGTCCGGAAAAGTTGTACTTTCTAGTAAAATGGATTTAGATATGTTAGGTTAATTTGAATGTAAAAGTTCATAAAAACATCAAGAGCTAAAAATTTGAGGCAACATAAAGGCATTAAAATAGCTAAGAACATCGGCGGAACTAGGGGGCGAGCCGGTGCCGGCGCTCCCCCTTCGCCGGAATAGTTAAGGTATTATTAGCACCCCGCCCCTGCAAATGGTCGTCGTCTTCCTTCTTTTGTCGATCTGGTTCTTTGCGCCTCTGAAAGGAGTGAGTAATACTCCGTATAATGCAATAGTTCCGTAGGATTTATTTTCATTTAATGCAACGACAACGTTTAGGTCTAAGTAACTACCGAGTAATAGATGTACTTTTTGGGCTACTGGCCGGCCCAAAATACCAAATTCAGCAAAGCCGTATGTAACTCCTTGACTCCGTGTGTGGCTTATAATGCCTTAATTTGTTGCTACGAATCTTGTATGTACTGCCACCATATCATATAAATTACTACGTTTTATTATTATACTATACTAATAGTATAATAATATTTTAATTAATTACAATATTAAATATAAATCCAGCGTTGTAACTTGTAAAACTATTTTACATTATTTTAATTAACCATTTTATATTACTTGGCTAGATTCCTTGAATGGAAATTAGCGAATTTATGTATATTTAATGATTGTGTGATTTATTATTTTTAATTTGTATCTTCTGAACTTTTTATGTTCTTTTGTTATTTTTATCTTCTATCTTTTTATAATCCTTTATCATTTTATCTTTTATCTTTCTTATATTCTTATGTTACTGTTATCTTATATTTATTTATCTTTAGCTTCTTCGTTTTCTTCTTCTTGTTTGTACGGAGTATTCTCTTTTTTGCATCGATATCATGGATTGATTCATGTTAGCCGAACCCAAAAATGTTTTGAGAGACCTGGATGATATTGCATAATTTGTAAAACCGTTCATGTGTAATTCCTAGACCGAAATCATAAATAAGCATTTTGTAAACCACTCATGTCTTACTTTTCTTTTGAATTGTTCAGAAATAAGTGTCACATTTATTTTTTTGAAAAGATATATGTAATCACAATATTTCACTTTATTAATTAGAGTCAAATTTCAACTAGAACTTTTGCTTTTAAATCACTTTATTAATGATTGTGTCAATCTAAAGCTTAAGACATATAAAATGAGATGGAGGTAGTACCATTTTGTCTAAATGGGTAAATGGTGTAAGTGTTTAATTTCTTATATAAAGTCTAATATAATCATATATTTCCTCTCTTATATAGTTTAAGGACATACTAGTATATGTTACAAATTAAAAAATTGTGTATTTAATTGATTCAAAATGAAGTTGGAGAGTATACTCTCTCACATACAAAGATTTATTTCTTTATTTTTCAGCACCCCTCAAAAATTGTTCTGGTTCTGGTTCCGCCACTGGCTAAGAACTAAGAAAAAGAATATTATAATATCTTTTCTTTTTCTAACTCGTGACAAGCCCACATGCAGGACGTATTTACCATTGGGCAGAGGCTCCTAGTGGATTTTATGAGCGGGACATTAAACAATAAGAAGGTATAATTTTTTACATGTGCTTAGGAAAACAAAATGTTGTGAGTTTAGGAATCCGGCAAAATCTAGTAGAATGGCAAATATTTGACCGGAATGAAACAACGTAGAGGTTTGAAAATATGGAACAGCCCGTAAGAGTTGTGATTTCTAGTAAAATGGTTTTAGATATTTTAGGTTAATTTGAATGTTTTGGGTTGTTTTACTTGGACTGAAATTTGTTGGTCTGATCTGGTTTGTTCAAGTGTGGTCTGAAACTGAAAATTGTCCAAGTAAAAACATCCTTATTCTGAAATCTTTTCTGGTAAAAGTTCATAAAATCATCAAGAGCTAAAAATTTGAAGCATCATAACAACATCAAAATTTGTATTATAGTATAAGTATTTTTCAAAACGTTTCTAGACCAAACTAACGATGTAGCCAATCGGATGGAGTGGTACACCCCCTTCCAAAATGTCAAGCGTTTCGAATCCACCAACAACTCCACTTTGTTTTATTTTTATGCTTTTTTGAAACTGTTTAAATTAAGTTTGTCCAAACCTAAAATTCAAATTAAATGTTTTTAATGTAGCTAATAAATGATATGAAATTTCAATAACATCTTTTCCACTTAATATCAAAACATGTTTATTTGTAACTTAAACCACTTATAATTACATATTTCATCCATTTCTTATATATTTTTGGTTTTGTATTCAATAAATAATAGAATGTCTAAATGTAATATCCAAATTAGTTTAAAATAATTTATTGTAATGTAAATAACAAATTATATGTAATTTCAATCACATATTTTTGCACTTATTATTAAAACACGCTTTTTCATTTGTAACTTTAATTAGTTATAAACTTATAATTACATGTTTCATTTGTTTCATTATTATAAACCTTAATTTTAATCAACTGTCAATTTTTTGATTAATATTTATTTCCTAAATAAATGTGATACAGTTAATGTAAATTTGCCCCCACTGACTGAACTTTCTGGACATGCTACGGAAGCAAACAATGTAGAGGTTTGAAAATATGAAACAGCCCGGAAGAGTTGTACTTTATAGAAAAATGGTTTTAGGTTAATTTGAATGGTTTATTCTCAAATAGGAGCCTCTGCCCCATGGTGGATATTTGAATTCTTATCGTTTAATGTCCTGCTCATAAAATCCACTAGGAGCCACTTCATAATGTTAAATGTCCCACACCGGAAAATTGAGAAGCACTAGAGTGCTATATTAAGCCTCAAGTTACTCCTCCTAACAGGTTGACCTTTTAGGATGGAACCCCAAGTCTTAACATGGTATCAGAGCCAAATCGATCCATGATGTGGGCCCTTTATGAATCGTGATGACACGATTATAAAAAAATTGATAATTAAGGCCGGATGAAAAAAAACCGGACCGATGAAAAATAAAATTAATGATGGCACGATCCAGACGAAGTGTCTGGTCGTGAGGAGAGGTGTTAAATATCCCACACCGGAAAGATTTGGATGAACAAAGTGCTATATTAACACATGAGCTACTCCTCCTATCAGGTTGACCTTTTAGGATGGAACCCCGGATCTTAACACATAAAAATTGTGAGCAACATAAAGACATTAAAATGGCTAAGAAAAGGAATATGTAAGAACTAGAAGATAGGGGTGCTGGGGGGTAATTAATCTTCGGCCTGTATTTGGTAACATCCATACAGAGTGCGTGAGAAGTATATGGAACTCAAAAAAAAGGTATATTGGAAAAGTAGAATTGAGAATTGTGGACAACCTTATCAACAGCTAAGAGATCGAATAGTTGAAGGTGAACTTACATGTATGCATGCTGATGAGTTTCATATGAATTGGGAAGGTTCCCAAAACTCTCAGAAGAAGTGATTGACGGTGATAAGCCTCCGTGATGATGGTGGCGTTCGGCGAAAACATACCGTGGTCTGTGGGGATCGATGGTCAAGATCCAGAAAGAACGCAGGGTGGAGGCGGTGATGATATTGAGGGTTTTCTTAAACTTAACTCGCCCTTTACCCAATTCAGCAACTTCACCCAAGTCCCTCTCTCGTTCGTACCCTTTACCCAATTCAGTAAGTATGGTAGGGCTAGGTCCGAAAAACCGAAAATCGAAAACTGAATCAAATTAAACTGAATCGCAACCAAATAAAACCAAACCGCTAAGAAAACGAATGTAAAAAACTGAACCGAACCGAAGTTGTTCAGTTCGGTTTTGGTTTTTACCCTTCAAAATCGAACCGAATCGAACAAACTGAACTATTTAAAATATGGAATTTATATGTTAATTGTTAAGCATTAATTCTAATTAATCTTAATATCATCAATAGTCTTTGGTTTTCTTGTGTTAGAGAAATAATGTTTGTGTTATGTTTAATTTAATTTAGTTTATAAATTCATTTACCCATTCATTGTGTGTAATACTCGTAATAGCTATATTGAATGATGATCATATGTGTTTACTAGTTTTTAGTAGTAATTAACTTTCATGTTTTTTTGTCGTAATTAACTTTCATGTTTAGATAACTTAAAGATTTTATATTGATAAAACAATAAATATTAATCTCAACTATATCACATAGAACATATATATTCATGAAAAATTTTTAAACTACTCACAAACAAATTAAATCAATAATATATACAGTTTTATCTATCTCGCATACTCATATAATTCAAGACATATGTATATCTTCTCATTTTTATTTTATTTGTCGTTGTATTGTACTTGAATTCTTTATGTAATATGTTTGATCCCCCTAAGTATTATATCAATTTTAAATCAAGTGAAAAAGTTTTGGTAAAAAAACCGAAAAAAACCGAAACTGAACCGAAACAAACCGAACCAATCAAACCGTGGTTCCAAGTTTTGGAGTGTAAAATCGAACCGAACCGAACTTTTTACTTTGATCCTACATTTGGTTTTAGGTCAAAACCGAACCGCAAGAACCGAACTCACCCCTAAGTATGGGCCCACCCTTTACTTAAGTACAGAAGAAACGAAAGTACAACTGCATCCCACCATTTCTTTCTCTTTCCCAATCTATTCCGATTTTCTCATTTCTTTTTCTCAATCATCCCTATCCCTCTAGTAAAAAAACTCATCTCATATTTTAGGCAATTTGAATGTTTTATTCTCAACCCTTTTCTGGTAAAAGTTCATAAAACCATCAAGAGGTAAAATTTTGAAGCAACTTTTTACCGGTGTGGAACTTTTTAACACACTTTCTCATGACCAGACACTTCGACTGGATCGTGCTATCATTCATTTTTTCGTCGTTCATCATTGTCAACTTTTTATAATCGTGTCGTCATTTTTCATAAAGGGGCCCACACTATGATTATGGATCGATTTGACTCAGATACCGTGTTAAGATCTGGAGTTCCATCCTAAAGCGTCAACCCGTTAAGAGGAGTAACACAAATTTTAATATAGAATTCTTAATTTACCGGTGTGGGACTTTTTAACAACGGCAACCTATACATAGCAATAGCATATGTTAAAAGTTCATGCAATTTTTATTTAATCAAAATCAAAATTTAAGAAACTCATTGATTCGAAATTATTTAGCATACTGGACTGTAGTTTGGGATTAGGTCATAGATATTACTAATTATAAGGATTTCGATATATTGATGATGGAATGATGGAATTAATGATGGAATGCATCTTCGTCATTTCTTTCTTTTCCCCAATATATTCTTATATTCTCGTTTCTTTTTCTTAATCAACCCTCCCCCTCACTACAAGAAAAAGTAGTTTGGGCAATAAAAAAAATTGTTGCCCAAAGTCCCATTTTTGTTGTCCAAATATATGCATTATGCACAACAAAAATGGATTCGTCACGAGGTTGTTGCCTAATTTGGGCGGCAAACTCAATTGTCATTGCCCATTACATTGTTTGGGCGACGCCTAACTTCGTCATCTATGTGTACTCATTGTGCAATAAAAATACTTCGTATAATTTATAGTCCATATGTGACTGTCTGGTGCAATGAATTCAAAAATCCGTCGCCCAAGACCCAAGTCCAAGCATTTGCCCAATTGCCCTCTTAGTTTTTATTTTGGGCAACGATGCTTTAATTTTTTTTAAATTTCTTGTGTATAGGGGTGAGCAAATAACCGATTCAACCGACCTGACCGAAGACCGATGACCGAACCGACCGAAAAAATCGGTTTTCGGTCGGTTTTCGGTTATCATAAATTAAAAATAATCGGTTATTCGGCTATTCGGTTTTTATTCGGTTTTATTTTTCGGTCGGTCCGATTTTTTTATTTTTTATTTTTATTTATTTTGTAAATATTTAAGTAAATATACTTCATAATAAATTAATAACTCCATAATAATGATTAAAAAAGAACTCCATAGTAATGAAATATGAAATCCAGCCCACGTCTATTGAACTCAACCTACAAAACTCATTAGTGGAATGCTATGGAGCCCGTTCTTCAATTATCCACTTCCTCATCTCTTTAACTTGTATTCTTATAATCAATTCATGGAGCACCATGTTCAAAATTTCAAACCTCCACATACACCTTCATTAGTTCTAGAGGAATCAACCTTGGTAGAGAAAAATCAACCGAAATCCTTATTTAATCGTTGCGAAATTGCACACATTTTTTCTTTTAATGTTTTCTAGACCCTTTATTATCTTACTCAACACGGCAGATCTTTTGATTTTTAATTTTTTCTTTAGTGTGATTTAAAATATTCAGAAACTTTTAGATGGGTTTGCTCATTTGGGATGTAAAGATTAATAAGATATTAGCCTATTTATTTGCTACATATTCTTTTCTATTTTGTTTTCATATTGAAAAAGACAATTGTGGAACAACGAAGTAGTTTCAACGTGGGATTTTTTAGTTTTTGTAATCGTATTGTGCTAAGAACAATTATTTACATTTAAATATGTTGAATCCATTTTGGTATTTATTATTTTATTTATTAATGTGCTATCTACAACTTTTATATTTTTGAAAAATATATGTTTTGGTCGGTTATGTTCGGTTATTCGGTTACCGACCGAAACCGAATGACATTTTTCGGTCGGTTTTTGTAATGTTGTCGGTCGGTTTTCGGTCGGTTATGAGAGGAAAAAACTTTGGTCGGTTATTCGGTTATCGGTCGGTTGTGCAACGTAACTAAACTCTGCTTTGGTACTCAAATCCTTAATGTTGCAAATAAATCAAATGAAAACTAAAATGCACCCACAACATCATTATTGGAAATGAAAATTCAAAATATAAGATTACAAATAAAGTAATACTTCAATTTCCTTCTGATGGTAATCAAAGTCAACAAACAATAACAACATTTTCATAGTTTTCTAACCTCTAAATTAACATAGAAATATAATATATGACTTTAAAAGAAAAGTTCCATGACGTTTCAAATCTACTCGATACATGAGCAATGCCTTGGGCAAACATGTTCAAATCATTTCCACTCAGTAAACAGTCAATCCTAACATCAACCTCTGCATAACACAAAATATAGTAAGCTTGTTATTATTATAAGATACTACATAATAAAAAGAATTTCATCAAATATCCACTTATTGTTGATGATTTCACCATGTAAATTAGAATACAAATTATGTCAACTACAGAAAGTTTATGACCTTTTTATCATGGGCTTGTTTGTGAGAATATGATAAGAACAATTTTGGCTTGATCACTTTCAGTGATCTTTAAGTACTTTCAAATGTGATAACAGATCGAGGTCATGGCTTCATCAAATATAACAGACTAATAGAGTGCTACATATTTACTTCTTTGAATACAAAAAGTAGAAATAAACAAAACCATTCACAGAAAGAATGTAAAAGTTTGAGCATCCTAGAATATATAGTAGTCTAGTGGAGTTTCCTAGAATATCTAGAGAAGATTAACATCCTAGGCTTGAACATACACTTCAAGAGTGAATATAGAAATACCGTTCCACACATATAGTTCTAAATTTACATTTGGGCATAAATTCAATGGAGCTCATAAGTAGAGTATAACGCATAACGTAGATGAGTTATTATGACACTTTATGTTGCTCCACAATAAGCTTTCTAAGAATTAGTGCAAAAACATAAACTGCTATTGGATTTGCATCGAAGTAAACATATGAGCAGTAAACTTATTATACTCCAGAACATGTGGAAGTCTAAAAGAATAAAAAACACAAAAAGCGATCAGCCCATTAAAGAATTTGTACTTCACTGTGTTAACTATTTAGTTTCCAATTTTTATTATAAAAGTTTTGATTTCCAAATTACACTACTTTCTCATCGGCAAACTTCTAAATAATCCAAACACTAATTTAAATATGTATTTGATCAATGTCCAGGATTTCATTGTGTGGGCCCAGTGCATTAAGCTGATACAGATAGAATATTTACCTTCTCTTCCCTCAACCAATTTATCTAGTCCACCACATTTAAGTTTAGTAATACCATGGTATTACTTAAATAAACTATTCTATAATATATATAGGTCTAACGAGAAGTTTAAGATAATAAATCAATGGAATGTAAAAAAATAGTAATTAAATTGTAAAAAAATAGTAAAAACTACCTTTTTTTTAACCAAAACAAATTAACTAGCATTAATTAAATCATAATGGAGTACATGAGTAATACAATCCGGTGGAGAAAGATACCAAAACCGGCGATCAGACAAAGAACACCCCGCCCTAGCTAACGCATGAGCGACTGTTTTCGCAGAACGCCTAACATGAGTGTAGGTAATGCTAGTAAAATGCCTACTAATAATATTGATATCCTCCGCTGATAACCCCAAAATCGAGCAACTATCATGCTTACGAATCTCTGAAATGGCCTGCAAAGAATCGGACTCAACATCTACAAACTCCCAATTTTGCTCCTTAAGCCAACTTAGTGCCTCCCTAATGCCCATTAATTCGGCTTCGACCGGAGAGCACCCCCCTAGCCGTGGACATGCACCTGCAGCCAAGAAGTCCCCCATATAATCTCGCACAACCCATCCAAGACCAATAGCAGAAGAAGAAACTGAAGCATAGACATTT